GGCGCTTATGGTAGTTATGGACCTCAGTATATTTATTATATATATCGATTACAACCACAATCGTTAGGCCTATACCTGAATGACAAGATTTATCCTGGCTATTTGTGTGGGAACAGATGTTGAATTCTGTGTTAGATTTGTTATCAGCGTGTCGAAAAATCATCATGTAGCCGCATCGGACGGTTTATTTTCGAGTTCCTAGAAGTGTCGTTGACTTAACAAAGGTAAGCTGTATGTTCACACATTGCCGTCTGCTTTAGTGTAATAATTTGAGATCAGTTACCGAAAAAAATGTAGGTTCTTTGGGAGATTGGGACACTCTTCGACATTCTTAGACACGTTGAGTCACGTGGGCTAACTTAGGACATGTATAACCTTAGATCAAAGGTATAATTTAAAGACTGGAACAAGAATTGCCAAAGGAAAAGGTAACTTTTTATAACATGATATATAAAAGATTTTTTTTTTCAAGTATCCAGAAATCATGAGTTGTTAACCCTTTGGCTCGGTACTGTGGATATTGCCACACTTCGGCCTTGATTCCACGATAGATACCGTAAATTTGGGAGAAATGTGGCTTTTCGTCACCCGGTCGCCGCAAAGTCCGGCTAAACCAACTACGCTAACGAGCCGGGCATATAAGCAAATAAAAACCTTTAACTGAAACAAGAAAAAGTGGTAAAGTTACGAATGCTATCATCATCGTCACCTCGTAACACTACTTGTCTTTGGGTCTCCAGTCTCTGTTGACTGTCTGATCAACTCTCTCCACCTTTGGCGGTCAGTTGCGATGGACTTCATGGCTGCAGGCCTATCCAGTCAGTCAGGTTCTGTAACCAGGTCTTTCTTGGTCTGAATGCTATATGTTCTCATTTTTGCTGACATCTAACTTCACGAATACATCTGAGCGCCCACAAAAAATTTTGGGCATTCGCAGATTTGACTGCAACTTTACAAAACAAGACAGAATTAACGTCATGTGACTAAATTGAAAACTGTATGAGTAGTGAAATCGTAAATAGGGGTTTGACTGCAATCGAGCTGACTGCAGTAGTGAAATGTACTTTGAAATTGTGAATACAAAAAAGTTCTTCTTTGCTGTACCAGAAGCAAAGCCTAGAGGAATGTTGTAAAGGGAGGAGATAACTATTAAGGATAATTTACAAATCTACTCCTTGAGCCTATCTCTACTCTAAACCTACAAGAGCTTCAACAAACATTGTCGTGGTGAGTGTGAGCCAACCCACACTCAAGCTACCTCGAAAACAAGAAAAAAAAATTGTTAGGCGGGGGCTAAGAACTATAGTGTCTTAACCCAGACATGATATTTTCAATATGAAGTTTTTTTTTGTTTTTTTTTTTTTTTTTTTTTTTTTTTATCGATCACCGCCTGTGAATTCCAGTGGAAGGTCCAGGTTAATCGTCCGCTTGGACTTTTGGCTTTCACCTGGACCTGATTTTTGCGTGTACAACAGTTTTTCATTTCCCTGCCTCATGGGCAGCTGTACTCCGACTTCGAAGGAAGACGTCAGGCCTATTTCTAGTGTGACTGTGGCCATTGTTTTGTGTGGGTCGAGACGTTGCCTGATTTGTGTGGTGTCCACTTTGTCTCCTTCGCCGCAGGTATTGCCCCCGGAGAACCCCTTTGGGGCAGCTCCCTGTGGAACAGTTAGCCCTCAAGGGAAGGCAGGGGCAGATCATGGGCATTCCCCGCCATCCAAGGAGGCTTCCATGCATGCAGAGCCGGCACATGGCACTCTGGTTCTGGGCTCACCCAAGGAATCGTCACGTCCTGCACATGCCTGCTTAACCTCACAACCGTATCAGGCCTCCCGCTCGACAGGGGCTGCGCCCTCTGGAAGTCAGCGGGGAGCAGCCCGCGGGTTTTGGACTTTTGTGACCACACAGATAGGTACATTCTTTTTTCTTCGCACGTTAGATTTCTTTGACGAGCCGTTAGCCCGACAGAATTTTACATCCTGCATCAGGCATATCGTTATCAGTTTTGTCCCAACACTCGGGCGAGTGGGGTCTTTGGGTGTGGACATTCGGTCTTTTTCAGTTCAATACAAATTTTGATGGTCAGATTTTGATCCGTATGCTCTAGTTTTGTCGGACATTTAGGCTTAGCCATCCGATGGATGGTTGCTGTTGTGGTGTACCTCAGCGCGGTGACGACGACACTGAGGGTTAACCAGGGATGTACAAGGATGGCCAGCCTATGGATGGTTGCTGTTGTGGTGTACCTCAGCGCGGTGACGACGACACTGAGGGTTAATAGAGGATGTGCAGTGAACAATGTTCTCTTTACTCCGCAGTCTTTTAACCAAGGGTTGTAATTTTGGCTGTACGTTTGGCAAACCTACTCATGTTCCTAATGAGTTTTGATAACATTTTTCACCCAAGCGTTTGGGGGCGGGCTGATGAGAGCCACAAGGACACATCACCTCTGGGGGCCGCCGAACTCCGAGATCCCCTGACAGCTCTGTTAATGCTCATTTGAGACATTATCCGTGGCGCACGACGAGGACGTGCTGTAGGGGTCTTGCGTGAGGTTCCGTACAACCAGGATAGTAAAGGACTGGCGCCCGAGTGACGTACGAAGTATCTCCTTATACACATCATGTTGGACTTAACTTCCCCTCACGCCTGTGACATAAATCACCGCGCCACTCAATATGAAGTCTAATCAGTGGTAATAGTAAAACTGCCACATTGCTTTTCCGCATTTCAACAAACAGTCCTTCGGTAGAAAGACTATTTTCTTTAATCCGTACCCCGTGCTCAAAGAAGAAATTGTTTTAGTGGGGATTAAGTCAAGTCAGCTTCACTGGTTAAATTCAATTTAAAACATTTCACATCTAGTCAATTTTATGAACATTAGAAGCAAACAAAGTAAAGGATCCTCTTCCATGCAGGCGTTAGGGTCATATAGGGCTAGACCTATATTTTATAGACTGATCGGCATTAGGTGTGTGATATTGTCAGCATCACTCTAGCTGCCTTTACTTCCAGAGTCTGCATGTGGTACCTACTCGAGGCTGGGTCGACCTGGGACCCAGGTCATTTATTGGGCATGGGCGGGAACCGGCTCTACCAGGGCCCGAACGATCGATGCAAAATAAAGTCATTCTCAACACTAAAAACAATTAAGTCATCAACAACAAAATTTAAAATTGAATCTAACATTAGGAGAAGTGTTAGAGAAATTGGCAAGTTTACGAAAATGGCTGTATACCGCTCTACCTCTATGCCAGCCATGACCTATAGGTGTGAGTCATGGGCAATGACAATAGCTCACAGAAGCCAGCTTCAGACCTCAGAAATGAGATATATGATAAAGAGTGGTCCAAGTGACAAGAAGGGACAAATTTCGCAATAAGAGAGTACCTCGTGAACTTGAAACCAAGGCCTCACAGTTACGGCGGTTTGGACAGGTATGGAGAATGGAAAAGAATCGGCCACCATGGCAGGCCAAGATCCAGGGAATCAGACATCAAGGATGACACAGAATCAGCCTGGAAGACAACATCTGACAGTCCCTGACTGACAGAAGACTGGAATGGAACAAATCCCCAAAGAAAACTGCTGATAGAGAAGTTTGGCTATATCTCTGGCACACCTCTACACCCCAAAATTAGAAAAGGAGAGACTAAGTAAAATGTCCTCATATCGACAAATCAAAAAATGGCAGACTCAATTGAAGTGCTACACCGGGCAAGTTTCATCCTGTACGTATAAAATCATACCTCAACTTGATGTCGACAGACGATTTGTTTTGCTAGTATTTAGAGCAGTGCCCCTAAACTTTCTTACACCCTAAGCCCAGCAAACAGGGAAAATCTCTTGCGGCAGCTACCCTAACAGAGAAACAAACAACATACGTAGATAGTTTATTTGCAACAATTAAATTCAGTGTCACGAAATTTGTTTTCAGCTAATGCAACATCTGCTGCTGTTCAGCGGTTAGACAAGCTTATATGTACGTGGCTGGAGTGGTGTTTCTGGTGCAGACTTTTGGTTTCTAACATCTCAGGCAGGTGGACTTTAAAGGATGCTCTCAATTAGTCGATAACTGCTGCCTGGGGAGGCACTGGGTCTATTCTTGTTTTTCTTGCAATCATCATCTAATTTCCACTTAATGCCTTTAAGCGTTGTGGGGAGGAACAGTTTGTGATCCATTGTTTGATGGGCAGCAATGGTTATCGTCAATACGTGTCGATGTAGAGGCTCTTTAATGTCATCAGTCCATATCTCCCGGGGACAGCCTCTTGCTTTCACTTCAGATTCTGTTCATGTGTAGTGCCTGCGTTGGTGGTTGTTCTGGCTGCACTTTTATTAAAAGACCAAACCATTTGATCTTCTACTTTTCAATGAATTGGCTACACGGTGTTGTTCTTAGTCTGCCTGATAATATCCTTTCTAACTTTGTCTCGGATGGTTAAATTGGCGGCTTTTCTCAGGTATTTCATTTCACTTGTGTTAATTGTTTGTAGGTTAGCCTTTCATAATGTCTAAGTCTGGCACTGGAAGCACAATGTTGGCATGAATATGTTATTTATAATCTATTTATTGACGCTCATACCTATGTTTGGATGTCTTGATAACGGCATCAGTTGATATTTAAGTCCACAAGCTCTTTGGTATCTTGTTTCTATTTCCCAGTCTATTTCCCTATCCTCCAAAGATATACTTCCCATATATTTAAATTCTTTGACTTACAGCAGTGGGGCCCCGAAACCCTCACGGGGTTGAAATATTTCATTGTCAGTGTTTAGAAAAAAAAAAAAAAAAAAAGTTCCCGCGAACCGGAGTCGAACCAGTGACCTAAGGATAGCTTCATTACATCTACAGTCCTCCGCTCTACCAACTGAGCTATCGCGGGATAGGATTATAAGTTCTCTTAAAATTATCTAAATGTAATAATCTCATAGTTCTATGCGACGATATTTTCTGGTATCTTCTATATGGGAGTTAGAGAATTCTAGTAAACTAGAAACATGGCGGCCCACTGTGAGAATGACAGGAACGACGGTGGGAATAATCACGATTCTTTCCTTCTTATGTCATATCTTGATGAAGTCCAGGATAGAGTAGAAGAGTTTCGTAGGAAAGCTTTATCACTCCAACAAGATAAAGGTAGCCTGCTAGCTATTCTGTCACAGCTGAAAGATGATCGTTTACAGTACACACTGAGTGGAGGTAAGTCAAGTGACTTGTGACTAATGACTTACAATTAAAAACTTCTCGATCACAAGCAAGATGTCCTGCGTCCGATACACCCATCTGGAGATCATCTGCCACATCCTCGCACATCTTCTCTTTGGCCTTCCTCTTCCTCCTCCATTATTGTTCTCTCTAAACTTTCAAATTTAAAGAAAACAAAAATAATGGGCTCTCCTGTCAAATCCGGACGAAGAATAAAAAGCCTTGGACGACTTAGTCAGAGTTCTCTCCCTTGGCCGCACTGCAAACAGTGATCGGAAAAGCCAACGAAACAAACGACACATGCAACATGGCAGTTAGACGCACTCACATAACTAACATCGTTCTTGCGACGCATGACTTAGTTGCCACGGACGTAACTCCACTATCTGCACGAGGCAGTAGTCCACCAGACCAACTTCGTCCAATGCGGCCAGGAGACTGAACTCCAGCGTACTCCCCCGGCCGCCATAATAAGTGCATAATAAGTGGCCGTAGTTTTAAGGAGAACCAAATTTTGAGAGCATGCATCTTCCCTGTAGCAACATACAGATGTGAGGCGTGGACTATCTCCTCCCAGTCCTTAAGAAAGAGGCTTTTGAGCTGAAATGCTATAGAAAGATTCTCAGAATATCTTGGACAAAGAAGAGAAGAAATACTGACATCTTGAAAGGTCTGAACATTAAGGAAGATTGGCTAATAAACAGCATCCTGTCTCGGAAGCTGAAATATATTTTGGTCAAATCAAGCTTCACAACGGATTGGAAAAAATTATAGCAGAAGGCATGTTACCAGGAAGTAGGGGCAGGGGCAGACCAACACAAAGATAGGCACAGGATATAAGTGACTCCTTGAGTATGAAAGTGCATGAGGCGGGAGAGCTGGTGAGAGACCGAGTTTCTTTCAGGCAGACCGTGATGCGAGCGACATTCTGCAAAGGACCTGCTACATGATGATGACACATTTCAACAACATTCAACATTAGTGGTGTCTGCCTGTTTGTGTTGGCACTTCTGATGGCTGCCTTATGCGTTTAATGCATGTATATGCTTTTGGATTTGCTGAGACTGCAGTCTGTATCAGTTTTTTCACAAGAGACAGTGATGAACATTCAGTGTGGTTTTCATTGGTACATGAACGGAGCAACTCTCATGTGAACCCATTTGCTTTGAAGTTGGGATTGCGATTACCTGATATCCATGGTGTTTTTTTCTACAGTTATTGTAGTCAATTGATGTTTCACAAACTAGATGTTGGGAGGGCCTTTTGGGAGCAAGTGAACAGTCCAGAAGCACAAATAGATCATTACAGTCTGAGAACGCCGATGCAAGGAGTTACCAGGGGATCTGGCTGAGGTCAAGACTCGAGGAAAGGGCGAGACAGATGCACAGTTAGACAGTTACTAGTACCATCGGAATTGGAACTCTTCATTTGCAGATGAACATGGGGACGAGCACATATGGGAGTGTCTCGAGTCCTGTGGTGTCGATTTTTAATTCAGCATTCAAACACTGATTATCTATAACTCTCAAAGAAGCCAGAGTCCCGGGGGTTTAGCATCACAGGCACAATGGGTAGTAAAGAGAGACTAAAATCGACACATATCATGCTTCATTGGGCTTCTAGGTTAGAACCTATGAACGTATGATGCGTTCCCTGGGACTCAAAGAGTTAAGTCGCATCTGAATGTCAGAATTAGTTCTAGAAACCTCTCAACCTCACTTGACACAGACATATTACAAAGGATGCTTCTCATCCAAACGGTCTTTGAAGCACTGCTTTAATTTGGGCAATTATTTAACTTCTTTAATATATTTGCCATCAAGCTGTCCAAATACTTGATTACTCCTTGTTCTAACATATGTCAGTGAAAGTTGGAGATCCTTTTAAGACATGGAATAAAAGTTAAAGGCATTTAAAAACAAATGCTTGAGGGAAATGATGAACATGAAGTGGGATGGCTACTTTGAGTTCTGTTTTTTTTTTTTTTTAAATTGATCTGGTTCTCGGGTTAAACCAGCCTGAAATGGATACCAAGTAAAGTCCTGAGAATTAGAAGCAATCGGCGTGATGTTTACCGCATCACCAAGTGTAGATTGCTCTATAAAAATATGAGTTAAGCATCGTATGTGCGCTGGTATAAAATGGTTTCTTTACTTATTAACTCATTTCCCATTAAAATTGCTACTGCTTATCTAAATTTTGGCTCTCTTTTGAATAACGGTCCCAAATGAACTATGCAGAAAGTGAACCTAAACAGAGCCTCACTCATATCTAAAATTTGCATGTCTTTTGTGGCGATCGAACCATGTCAAAAGTAGGATTAATTGCGCACAACATTTTTGCGAAACGCAACTGATATCTTTACGGCGATTACACGGCGGCAAAACTAGGATTAACTGCGGAAGAAAAAAAATTACCGGCACGCGAGAATACTCCCGATAGCGCTATCCTACGGCAGGGCCCGAGTTATATGTAAGTTGCGGACCGCTTTTCACCGACTATAGTGCCACCTCCCTGAGAGTATTCCCTGCGCCGCTACGCGAGGCGCGGAAGGGGCTAAACTAGATGGCTAGGACTCATGAGCAGCAGCTACCGCAGCTCCAGCAGCTTCCTCCAATGCATTTGCTCGTGAGTCCTAGCCATCTAGTTTAGACCTTCCGCGCCGCGCGGGGATACTCTCGGAGGTGGCACTATAGTCGCCGGAAAATAAAGTCTACAATATACAGGAGCTACTTCTGTCGGAAGTACCAGCGTGCTCGCATTCGCCACGGTCAAGTGGTGTTCGGGATAGTTGAGCGTCATCGTGGCGGCTGCTGGTTTGACGTTGTCCCGAGGCGACATGCGCTTCCATTAAACCGCGCATTTACATCATGTCTCGCCCAGAACGAGAATCGCGGACAAGCCGTGCTGAGTTACAATGGAGGACAGCGAGACAAAACAGATATTTGCCCAGTATTTGCAACTTCTGTGCTACAATTTTCATATATAAAGGATTTACTTTTCGGTAAGTAGTAGACTTTGCCCGTTTCCTTACACCTCTCGTCCCTAATTTTTTCCGAGTTACACCTTTTAAATGTTTGTAGGGCAGGACGTAATGAGGCTTTGTTTGGGTTCACTTTCTGTGTAGATCATTTGGGACCGTTATTTAAAAGAGAGCCACATTTTTAAATCAGATATTTAACAATTTTGTCCTTACCTTCCAGATGAATCACATGAAATCGTGACAAAAATCGAGCAGCTCAGAGAGAGGTGCGGAAACGTTGAAATCAACATCAAAACTTCACGTACTCCAGAGCAGGAGAGTTCCTATTTACTAGTCAATTCTTTAGTGACAAAACTAGAAAACATGTGTCTCCTAGGAAATAGGGATATGACAGGATTCATCCTGCAGGCTCAAGGGTATTTGAATGCTTGTATTTCCGATGAGGCTACCCAAGGCCCAATTGATTACAAATTTCAAGGCATGATCCTAGGTTGTAAGTTGGAAGACCAGAAACTAGTTCGTTACCGGCTGGAATGTTTAGTTAAGAGAAATTCCCCCACAGACCTTATACAGCAAAGAAGCCAGGGGAATTCCCCCACAGACCTTATACAACAAGGAAGCCAGGGGAATTCCCCCACAGACATTATACAGCAAAGAAGCCAGGGAAACTCCCCTACAGACATTATACAGCAAAAAAGCCAGGGAAATTCCTTTACAGACATTATACAGCAAAGAAGCCATGGAGATTCCCCCACAGACCTTATACAGCAAAGAAGCCAGCTTCACAATGACTGCACAAGTAGTTGCACAGAAGAGGAGCAGCAACAGCAGCCAAAAGCAACAGCACAGTGTGATAATACAGGATTTGCCGAGAGTCAGTCTGTAGACATGGACAGTTGTAGCAACAATTAACTATCAACAAACTTCAGTGCAATCCTTCTTGTGTGCAATTTTCATTTGGAGCTGTGAATGTCTGCCCTTGCTCAAGTGGTTTTGTAGTGTTGACTGGACACAGATCAGTGGATTTGGTGTTGCTGTGGTAGGGACAGGTCAATGGTTTTGATGATGTGTTGATGAACACAGGCGAGTGGTTCTGATGATGTGTTGATAGACACAGGTCAGTGAGTCAGTGACTAGTAATAAATTGATGGACACACCAGGCTAGTGGTTCTGATAGTGTTTTGATGGACAGAGACTAGTGGATCTGATAATGATAGACACAAGCTAGTGGTTCTGATAATGATTTGATGGACATAGGCTAGTGGTTCTGATGATGTGTTGATAGACACAAGCTAGTGGTTCTGATGATGTGTTGATGGACACAAGCTAGTGGTTCTGATGATGTGTTGATGGGCAAAGGCTAGTGGTTCTGATGATGTGTTGATGGACATAGGCTAGTGGTTCTGATGATGTGTTGATGGACATAGGCTAGTGTTTCTGATGATGTGTTGATAGACATAGGCTAGTGGTTCTGATGATGTGTTGATGGACATAGGCTAGTGGTTCTGATGATGTGTTGATGGACATAGGCTAGTGGTTCTGATGATGTGTTGATGGACATAGGCTAGTGGTTCTGATGATGTGTTGATGGACATAGGCTAGTGGTTCTGATGATGTGTTGATGGGCACAGGCTAGTGGTTCTGATGATGTGTTGATGGACACAGGCTAGTGGTTCTGATGATGTGTTGATGGACATAGGCTAGTGGTTCTGATGATGTGTTGATGGGCACAGGCTAGTGGTTCTGATGATGTGTTGATGGACACAGGCTAGTGGTTCTGATGATGTGTTGATGGACACAGGCTAGTGATGGTTCTGATGATGTGTTGATGGGCACAGGCTAGTGGTTCTGATGATGTGTTGATGGGCACAGGCTAGTTATGGTTCTGATAATGTATTTATGGACACAGAACAGTGATTCTGATAATGACTTGGACACTGGTGTATTGTCTGATAATTTCCAGCTCTTGAAAACAATTTTTTTTTAAATTTTTAATTATTTTTATATTACATAAATTTTTACTAGTATTTACTGACTCATCTGGCAACACATGAAATGATATGGTGCATTTATTATTGTTTCATTTCTTGGATAAAGAAAGTTGTTTTTAAAAAAACAAATATTCTCTTTCCTGACTGATGCTGAAGATATGTTGAAGTACAGTTGTTTATGTCATCATTCTTGTGGCTGTTGGTGTAATACAGTTGAGTCTGGATAAGTAGAAGTCACAGGGACCTAAGAAAATGCTTCCACTTATCAGGATTTCTACTTATCCAGACAGCACACACGATAGAGAAAATTGCCGGGACTAAGCTGGTCATGTCGACTTGACCAAAATTTGACTTATCCGAGTTTGACTTAAGTGGACTCGACTGTAAACAGTTTCTGGTGTGGTTCATCATTATCATCTGCTGGTAACATATTCGATTCCTGGAATGATAATTACCTATCTATCTATTGTCTTCTCTGCTTATATGCTATTAGGTGTCACAGGCACAGCTAATGATTGGTTTCCAGGATAGTGTGTGCTCGTTAGCTTACTGCTCTGTGATATTGAGTTTCAGCAAGTTGTTAACTCCATCTGTTTATCTTCTTTTTGACCTTTTTCTGAATTTTGATGTTTCCATTCTCATGTTGTATGCTCTTGCAACCGGTAATGCTGGGTTCATTCTAACCAGGTGGCCAAACCATTTCATTCTTTGTCAATAAATCTAATTACATGTGTATTCCTACCATTCTAATCATATCTTCATTTCTTTTATGGGTTCTTCATGTTATATTGACTGCTGCCCTCAAATGTGTCATTGCACTGGTCGTTAGTTTCTGCTCTTGTTTTGTTAGTGGCCAGGTTTGACATTGGTAACACAATGCTGCATTTCTGATTTGTCTTTTAGTTTCTCTTGGTATTGCCGGCCGGGTATTTCAGTATTGGGGGAAAGTTGGATTCTGGACTCGATCACTTTGTCCGGTCTGCCAACTGATGTGAAGATGCTTCCAAGATATTTAAATTTGCCCCCCTGTTTTAGTGAATTGTTCATATAATTTTTGTGTCAATATTTAGATCTTCTCTGTTTATGTTCATGATTTCTGTTTTTAAAAAAAAAAATGTTTTTAACGTTAATCTTCATGTTATTCTTGACACAGCTTCTGTGGAGTGCATTAATATGTTCCTGTAGTTGTTCAGCTTTACATAAAATATGCATTGATTGTCAGCAAAGAGCAGCTCGCCTAATCTAACTATGCCTTTTGATTTGTATGTTGTCTAGTGTGCCCTCTGATCTCTTTCTCTCCCCCCCACACACGGAGCCTACTGAGAAAGGTAAAGACAGGTGTGCTGCCTGCAGTGGGACAAGCATCACTGTATCTGTTAAAATGGGAGCCTACCTAACATTATATGCCTGACAGCCACCGGTGCGAAAATGGGACTTAACCCTTTTTTGAATTTTTTGTTTGTTGTTGTTGTAAATACTGATCCACCATACCACAGAACAATGGCCGAAGCAACTGATCAAACATTTAAGAACTCTGCGCTCTCGTCTCAGAGACCAGATTCAATTTCTTAGTAAGGTTGTGGATTTTTTCTGTTGGAGCAAAAGTACAGTCCTAAATGCAGAGTCCTTGACGTTAGCACTTGTCAGTGCATGTTTGACTGGACTTTCAGAGATTGAGTAGACATAAAAAACATGTGAGACAGTGCATGTTTGACTGGACGGTCAAAGATTGACTAGACCTAAAAAACATGTGAGACAGTGCATGTTTGACTGGACGGTCAAAGATTGACTAGACATAAAAAACATGTGAGACAGTGCATGTTTGACTGGACGGTCAAAGATTGACTAGACATAAAAAACATGTGAGACAGTGCATGTTGCATGACTGGACGGTCAAAAGATTGACTAGACATAAAAAACGTGAGACAGTGCATGTTTGACTGGACGGTCAGAGATGGAAAAAACATGTGAGACAGTGCATGTTTGACTGGACGGTCAAAGATTGACTAGACATAAAAAACATGTGAGACAGTGCATGTTTGACTGGACGGTCAAAGATTGACTAGACATAAAAAACATGTGAGACAGTGCATGTTTGACTGGACGGTCAAAGATTGACTAGACATAAAAAACGTGAGACAGTGCATGTTTGACTGGACGGTCAGAGATGGAAAAAACATGTGAGACAGTGCATGTTTGACTGGACGGTCAAAGATGATTAGACATAAAAAACATGTGAGACAGTGCATGTTTGACTGGACGGTCAAAGATTGACTAGACATAAAAAACATGTGAGACAGTGCATGTTTGACTGGACGGTCAGAGATTGACTAGACATTAAAAAAACATGCGAGACATGCATGTTTGACTGGACGGTCCCCCCGCGTGGGTTCCGTGGCCCCATTGTGGGGAAAACAAGAATAGACCCGCTGCCTCCCAAAAAGCATGTCGTAAGAGTCGACTAATTGGGGAGCTTCCTTTGAAGTCGGAGTGCATCTGCCGGAGAGGCAAGGAACCAACAGTCTGTATTCAAGAGAATGAGATCTGTAAAACTGATGCACACGCAACACTCAGGTTCTGGAGCAGGACTGCAGTTCAGTAGTGGACGAGCAACCAGAACCTCCGCCAGAGTTTACAGCTGGTGAACGCGAAGAAGAAGAAGAAGACTGGACGGTCTAGACATTGAAAACGTGTGAGACAGTGCATATTCTCAGTGCTTTTAGAGAACTGAGTTTTGTTTTGCTAGCGATATGCAGTGTTATGCAGTACCACAACCTGTTTTTTTTTGTGTGTGGACTTTTTGTAATGCGTACCGGCACCTTTTTGTTTTCTAGAAAAGAAGCTGTGCTGATGATGTATAGTCAAATAGTGTATCTGTGGGTCTCGTCTTAATTGTGTTTGCGGGTTAGGTTGGTTGGTTTGAGCTTGTTACATGCTACATAAATAGAAACAAACGACACTGTTAGCCTAGAGCTGTGTGCTTGGACTGTTTCAACACATATTGGATTTACTAACAAGTACCTGCAAAAAGAGGGCCTGAAATATCAAATAATATGGGAATTTCGAAGTCGGTTAACAATTTAATTTTTTTTTTTTTTTCAATATTTATTATTGCCAGATTGTTATTGTATAATAGTTGCAGACAACTGTACACACATTTCAACATCTGCATTTATTTCAGCTGTGCATTTATTTATCCCGAAGATGGTATTATCATCATCAACATGTGCCTTGCCGTATTGCCCAGGCATTCAAGTTTCTCCACAAGTTTTGGTCTTTTGTGTTTCACATAAAACTTTTCTTTTGTTTCATCAGAATTTGTATCAGCTACATATTTGTTATTGTTTCATCAAAATTTTCATCTATCCATCCATTTTCCACATTCTTCCAATTATATTCAGCCATGTTAATTTAAAAAAAAAACTAAATTCATCCATTCATTCAATTATTCCAGTCATCTCATCCATTCATTTACCTTCTTTCCATCAACTCACCCTTTCATCAAAGTCTTCTGATTAACCCAATGCACTGGTGTGATTTATCATACCACCACTATACAGATAACAATGGTGTATAAAATGGCAGCAGTGTCTGTCGGCCATCTTTGAAACAACTGTTCTAATCTTCATATTTGTGTAAATTTATGAAGGCATTGTGTTTCAGAGGGGCGTGTGTCTGGGCACATGAATGTATGCGTGTGTGTGTGTGTGTGAGAGAGAGAAGAGAGTAGAATGTATATCAGGTGTGTGTGTGCGTGCACGCCACATTACAATGCTTATTCAGATTTACTTTTGTCAGAAATAACACAATGTATAATAAACTCATCTGTGCAATGGAAACTGAATTGTCTCATGTCTTTGGATTTCTCTGCATCCATCTTTGCACACCAGTGTATTTATTTATGTGTGCATGTTTACAAGAAGCAAAAGTGATGGTGACAGGTGTACAGTCATTTGGTTTATGTATATATACGCCAGGTTTATCCATGAGGATGGCAATTTCACAAACATTTGGTTTATGCTGGCACCAGGTTTCACAAACATTTGGTTTATGTTGGCACCAGGTTACACAAACATTTGGTTTATGCTGGCACTGGGTTTCACACACATTTGGTTTTTGCCTGCAATACATTTGCCTCTGAGGTGAAAATTTCACAAACATTTTGTTTATGCCTGCACAGAATTCGCCTCTGAGGTGACAATTTCACAAACATTTGATTTGAGTGCACCAAGTTTCACTAACATCTGTTTTATCTAGGCACTAAGTTTCACAATTTCACAAAAATTTGGTTTATGCCTGCTCCAAAATTTCAAAATTTTGCAAAAATGTAGTTTATGCATGCTCCATGTTTTACAAACCACATTATGCTACCGTGAGCTCATAACATCAGATATGATTGATACAAGCCGAAAACAGAGCTGGGACAACTTGTGCTAGATCTTCTGAGGTGGGAATTTTTCATTGTTGATCACAAATACAGATAATGAGAAAGACAGACAGACATCAAGAGGGAGAAAGATTCATGAGAATGAATGAATAAGTGAATTTGTAAAAAATGGACATCACCGCACTTGGGACATTCCTACACGTGCTCAGTCTTCTTCCTCAGTAGCCAGAGTTGACATGCTAACAGTACCTGTTGCAACCTGATTAAAAGTCCACTAATGCTTCCCTTAAGTGTTGGACATCTTCCAAAACTTTTACTCTACTAAGATAGACAGATAACAGGCTGCCTGATAAAACGGATAATAGTAGTGGTTGAAACTCTTCAATAAAATGTGCAAGGTACTGAAAGCCAAAAAGATAAACAACACACTGAAAACGAGAATTGTCAAATGTTATGTTTGCTTAGTCCTGCTATATGGTGCAGAAACTTGGACAATAAACAGGCAACTAGAAAATGGAATTGAGTCTCTGGAAATGTGTGTAGACAGAAGAACAAGTCATATTTCATGGAAACAAAAACAGTTCAATACAGAGGTTCCGGAAAGGGTACAAATGAAAATAAATGAAAGAAAGAAAGAGACAATTGAAATACTTTGGCCACATTAAAAAGCATAAGTTGCTTTTAAAAACCATAGTAGAGGGAAAGGTCGAAGGCATGAGAGCAAGAGGTGGGTAACATAAGCGGGAGGACAATGTCAAGAGATGGACGGACGGCAGTCTGACAGAGTGTGCAACCAAGATAAGTAACATGGCATGTTAGCGATCCATTGCAGGCAACCTTTACTGTGGAGACAGCACCTGATTGATGATGATGATGATGAGACAAACGTAAGGTAGTCAGGAAGTGAGCATGTGTGTATTGCCACTTAACTGTCATCTTAGAGGTAATCCATTGCTGCAAACTTGCTGTTGAGTCCAGCTCTTCACACTGTCCCACTAAAGCATGCCCAAACTGTTTCCTGTAGCAGGAGTACCCCATCCCTGCCCTCATGACGTGTGTTCTATATCTTGATCATCGTTTCAAATCGCTGGTCTGACCATGGGCGCTTTAATTTTCCACTAAACAAAAGACAAAGGTTGAACAGGATGTACTTCAGTAGAACTCATTTCTTCTTCTTCTTCTTCTTCTTCTTCTTCTTCTTCTTCTTCTTCTTCTTCTTCTTCTTCTTCTTCTTCTTCTTCTTCTTCTTCTCCTTCTTCTCCTCTTCTTCTTCTTCTTCTTCTTCTTCTTCTTCTTCTCCTTTTTCTTCTTCACATTCACTGGCTGTAAACTCCAGTGTAATGTCCGGTTTGTTCATCCACTTCGGGACTTTGGTCTCGATCCAAAGCTTGAGTTTTGCACCCTCGTACATTCTACAGATTCTGGTTTACTGGTATGCAGGCTGTTGGTTCCTCGCCTCTCAGGAAGATACACTCCAACTTCGAAAGAAACACCCCTAATTAGTCACCTATTACAACATGTTTGTTAGGAAGGCAGTGGGTCTATTAATTTGACCCCAAAATAGGGTCCCAGTACCCATCTGGGGAGGAACCTCGTTTGAAGCTACTTAGCAAATACAGTCCTGATCTAGCGTCTGAATACCTGATACAGGCCAACACTTACTGTTTGTTCTATCACTGGTCAACACTGATCTGTTCTATCATAGGTCAACACTGATCTGTTCTATCATAGGTCAACACTGATCTGTTCTATCATAGGTCAACACTGATCTGTTCTATCATAGGTTTGTCTGTTCTATCACTGATCTGTTCTATCACTGGTCAACACTGATCTGTTCTATCATAGGTCAACACTGATCTGTTCTATCACTGGTCAACACTGATCTGTTCTATCATAGGTCAACACTGATCTGTTCTATCACTGGTCAACACTGATCTGTTCTATCATAGGTCAACACTGATCTGTTCTATCACTGGTCAACACTGATCTGTTCTATCATAGGTCAACACTGATCTGTTCTATCACTGGTCAACACTGATCTGTTCTATCAAAGGTCAACACTTGCTATTTTGTGCTGCCATAGGTCAACACTTTTCTATCATAGCTAAACACTGTCTGTCCATTCACAGGTCAAAACTGTCTGTCCATTCACAGGTCAAAACTGTCTGTTCTATCATATTTCAACGCTGTCTCTTCTATCATAGGTCAACACTGTCTGTTCTATCATAGTTCAGCACTTACTTCTGTTCTATCACAGGTCAACACTTATTGCCTGTCCTGTCATAGGTCAACACTGTCTGTTCTATTATAGGTCAGCACTTACTGTCTGTGCTATCATAGGTCAACACTGTTCTATCATAGGTCAACACTATCTGTTCTATCATAGGTCAACACTGTCTGTGCTATCATAGGTCAACACTGTCTGTTCTATCATAGGTCAACACTGTCTGTTCTATCATAGGTCAACACTGTCTGTTCTATTATAGGTCAACACTGTCTGTTCTATCATAGTTCAGCACTTACTTCTGTTCTATCACAGGTCAACACTTATTGCCTGTCCTGTCATAGGTCAACACTGTCTGTTCTATTATAGGTCAGCACTTACTGTCTGTGCTATCATAGGTCAACACTGTCTGTTCTATTATAGGTCAGCACTTACTGTCTGTGCTATCATAGGTCAACACTGTCTGTTCTATTATAGGTCAGCACTTACTGTCTGTGCTATCATAGGTCAACACTGTCTGTTCTATTATAGGTCAGCACTTACTGTCTGTGCTATCATAGGTCAACACTGTCTGTTCTATCATAGGTCAACACTGTCTGTGCTATCATAGGTCAACACTGTCTGTTCTATCATAGGTCAACACTGTCTGTTCTATCATAGGTCAACACTGTCTGTTCTATCATAGGTCAACACTGTCTGTTCTATCATAGGTCAACACTGTCTGTTCTATCATAGGTCAACACTGTCTGTTCTATCATAGGTCAACACTGTCTGTTCTATCATAGGTCAACACTGTCTGTTCTATCATAGGTCAACACTGTCTGTTCTATCATAGGTCAACACTGTCTGTTCTATCATAAGTCAACACTGTCTGTTCTATCATAGGTCAACACTGTTCTATCATAGGTCAACACTGTCTGTTCTATCATAGGTCAACACTGTCTGTTCTATCAAGGTCAACACTGTTCAATCATAGGTCAACACTGTCTGTTCTATCATAGGTCAACACTGTCTGTTCTATCATAGGTCACTTAATTTTAAAAATGAAGAATATCTAATGCAATAAGTCCTTCAACTGACGGTTAAAAGAAAATACTGTGTGTGCTACATAGAACCAGTTGTAACATTTGACTGAACATTGGACATAGAAAGAGAGAGAGAGAGTTCACTTAAGAACTAATATGGCAGCACTCTGCCCATTCCCAAAAGCTCTCAATTACCTTCAACAGTCAGTGCAGAGCTCCAATTCCAGTTTTACAAGAGTCAATTTGTATGCTAGTCTTGCATTTCCTCTGAATGTTGTTTTTCTGCCAGAACCTCTGCTACCCTCACCTGACTGCAACATTCTTCTTCGTCTTGTTCACCGGCTGTAAATTCCAGCAGAAAGTTCTGGTTGTTTGTCCCCATCTAGACTTTTAGTCTTGTTCCAGAACCTGGGTGTTGCATGCACATCCGTTTTTCAGATCTGATTTTTTTTAAGTATGCAGACTGTTGGTTCCCTGCCGCTCAGGCAGATGCACTCTGACTTCGAAGGAAGCTCATGACCTCGAAGAACGCTCAAAATAAGAAGACTCTTACGACATGCTTGTTGGAAAGGCAGTGGGTCTTTTCTTGTTTCCCCCCACAAAGGGGCACCGGAACTAACAAAGGGATAATGCAGTATTCTCTGTAATGACCTTTTTGTACCTCTGCACTGGAGAAACAGAGAGAGAGAGAGAGAGAGAGAGAGAGAGAGAGAGAGAGAGAGAGAGAGAGAGAATCAGTGAAAGAATGACAGACGCCAGACAACTTTGATGGCTGGCATCAGACAATTTTTATGTGTATTAACCTTGTTTTCTTTTCCAAGTCCCGGAGAACTCTCAAGACCATCTCGTCCTGGTAGGGCAAAGAAGCTATCTGTACACCAACTGGCAGGTTTTGAGACGAACTGCCTGGCTCATTCTGTGACGATTACATTGTAATGCACTATTACATTGTTCAAACAATTACCTTAACAACTCTCATTGTACACACACAAAAAGACCAAATATACTGTTACAAAGAAACCGCATAACTACTGAAAGGAACATACTTTTTTCACATAAGGGCGGTAGTCTACGGGTTCGCTGCCTGAGCAACTCAGTTTAGTGCTTGGTGCAGCCCTGTTAGCTGTTTTTTTTCTCTCTCTCTATGGATTGCCTTTCATTTGTGCAGCGTTTGTGTCACCATGTTCTTCAATGTCTCTCTTCTCATTGTGGTGCATACTACTATAGAAACTGAATACATTGAAGCAAATAGATGAATTATTCTTGATAAAACAGTTTCATCTAAATCTATGCACACAAAAAGGCCCGGTTGTGAACCTGCGTTTGCCCTGGTGAAACGGGCAGTTTATTTTGTGAGTAGTTGATTTTGTATTTTACTCAGAAAAATAATTAATTTGTTTCATTAAATTCACTTGTGGCTGTAGGATGCGAATTATATCAGTCAATAAATTGTGCAGTCCATACTGTCCACACACATAAACACACACAGATACGTGCGCTCACACCCACGCAAGCACACACATGCATAAAACGCATAGTTATCTGACGGCGCGTCCCTACTCAAATATAGTTTTTAAGTATCTGTTTATTCACGTCGTTTTATTAATATTATACTATTTATTTGTTATTCAGCACATAATAATAATAACTATTATTACTATTGTGCACACAATAAGAACAACAACTGTTATTATTATTATGCTCTTGAACATGGCTTGTGGAGGGACCCCCCCCCCCCTTCCCAATCTACCCAGCGTGTGACTAATATATTTACAGGTTGTTACAGATACAATGTCTGCAGTGTTTGTCCAGAGTAGTTCAAACCCGGTTCTTGGTTCGGGGAGATGACATACACAAGAACAAGTCACACAAATACACTGGTTACCTCGTTTCCTAGCTGATCCTGCAGAGTCAAAGACAGAGAGAGAAACACTAGTTAACGTACGTTAAATACATCAACCATAAATTTAAATCTCGTTATTTAGATGATGTACAATGCTCTGTGGCTGAGAGGTTAGCTCATTAGCTAACAATGTCATGATCCTTGAGTACCAGGGTTCATCCCTTGACAGTTTTTAAACAAAACAAAACAAAACATTTTCGAACAATAGTACGAGAGTCACGCCGTATAAAAGTTTGGGGTCTCATCACATAGCAGTAGTAGTACTTTTACCCAACCAGGACATCACACAAGCGATAAACACCCAATGACACAAAGTGCAACCATGAGGATCACCCGTGGAGAGGTCCCGGAAACCGCGTTCAGTTTTATGGCCATATTTGTGGCCGGGCTATATTGCGGCCCCTGGAAAGAGCCAGGGTGGGGCTTCAAAATAACGAAAAATTGCATCCTACAAGGAAATGACTGTATGCTAACGACAATATTTGACTCATCTCATCAAATCATGTTCCCAAAGACAACTGGTGCTAACCTTCACTGTGGATACCGCACATTTTTTTAAATACAGTGTTATTATCAAAACAACATTATTATAATTTATGACAAAAACGATAACAATGTATATCAAAAACAGCAAAAATTTCCATCAAATACAGTATATTTTCCGTTCAGCCAAACAGGTCTATCCCCTACAATAAAAGCTGACTGCACTGCTTCAGTGCTCGCAGAATGGCCCGAGTGTAGTGAATTCAATTCTTCAATTATTTATTCATACCCATGGCAATTAGGCTCTCCTGTTATGACTTAACTCCTCGTTCCCAAACAACGTGTGATGCTCGATTGGCTCCACTCTGAAAACCACTCAACGTGTATATATTCTTGTCCTTTTCAGAGTTGGTCACAGTATTTTTAGAAATCTGGCTTCTCTCTTATTTATCGTCTTTGAAAACAATACACTGGTGGTTTTTCAAATTTATTGTTATACAAATGGGAATCTCTGGTAAAACCTTCTGGTACTCAAAAAATTAATTTATGATGGGGAAAATTTATGGATTGTATGTACACATAAGCTAAAGAATTTACTGAGGCCTCGGCGATATGATTTTACAGAATCCCCGTAATTCACTGGACACCCAAAAAGTGTTTCGAAAGAGGAGATGGCTCGAAGACATTTCACAAACATCACAAAGAGACATTTCTTCTTCTTCTTCGATCCTTCTGTCAGAAAACTTAAATCAGGAGGCCGGTAGCCTTTATGAAAGCTATCGTGCAATCCATATCCTTTCGTGTACCATACAGTTTTGTCTTCATTGTGGTTGGAACAGGCCAGATTGCGTCTCTGTTGTCAGCATACAGTTGACAGTGTTGGAGCACATGCTCAGCATTTTCGGGTGCCACGCTGCAGGGACACGTCTCCGTATTTCCTACACCGAAAAATTTGAACATATGTTGACGAAGTCTGTTGTGCCCAGTCCTTAGTTTGAATATAATACACTGTCTCTCTCTAGAGAGGCGATGAAGTGAGTCTCGGGGAGAAAATCTGGTGTGGGTATCCAGCCACCTTTCGTGGATACTAGATTGTATTAATGTTTTCATCTCTTGGTAGGTTAAGTCGCTGTTTGGTTGTACCATGTCACTGCCGCTTCTGGCCAATCTGTCCGCTATGTCATTGCCTTCCAAGCCACAGTGACCTGGAATCAACTGCAATATTTTTGGTCATATTATAAGAAGGAAACTGGAACGTGTTGTGACAGCTGGGAAGATCTGCGGAGAGAGAGAGAGAGAGAGAGAGAGAGAGAGAGAGAGAGAGAGAGAGAGAGAGAGAGAGAGAGAGAGAGAGAGAGGGAGAGAAGACAGCTCGAGGCGGTTCCTGACAGCCTGTTGCTATGACATGGAGGAATGTCAACACACGAACTGACACATGCTGTTGAAGATCGCAGATTGTGGAGAAGCATGATCGCCAAAGCTGATCGACAAGACGCTTAATAATAATGACGATGTACACGTAACTACACCCACCGACAATGGACAATAGAACTACAGACTACCATCGGGTGCCGCCACATAATTCTGGTTTACAGTTTAACGGTGTTTCTGGAATGTGTCCCTGATAGATTTAATCTAAAGTGCCTTATTGGGTTACTTGGTGGTAATTCTTCAGGTCTCAGTCCCATAGGAGTTCATTAAGGACAAGCTCATATTAGCTCCGTCTTCCTCCTGAACAGCCAGCAAAAAGTCTATATAATAACGGCACCCGTTGTCTTCTGGTTAACCTTTCCCCGAGTCAAGAGTGACGCCCACAGCTTGCAGACACTGCCCGCTGCATCATTCTCTCCAGTTACGGGTTATTACTGTCTTCCATTGTACCATTAGGTCATCAGAGAACAACAAATGAAGTGGCTTGGACACCAAACAAGAATGCTCTGGTACCACAGGGAGCCACAGTGGAACGTTACAACGGATACAGAGCGAGCGGAAGACCTTGGAAATATGGAGTGATGGCATTAGGAACAGCCTTATATAATTGAACATCAGTCTTAATAGTCCTTTTGACAGAGCTCATCAACGAACGTTACCTCTCCCCCTGACACTTCTATGAAGTACAAGGTGGAAGAGAAGAAGAAGAAGAAAAAGAAGAGGAGGAAGAAGAAGAAGAAGAAGAAGAACTTCCATTTTGCTTGTTACGTCGCGCCACAAACGAGAGATCACTTCTGACTCATGTGGTTGCAGATCACTCCCAAGTGTAACCAGCCCAGCCAACCTATCTACTTTTTCCCACACGCCTACATAGCTTGGGCAAAATGTTTCTGGAGGGTAGAGAAAAAAAAAAGTAGAAACGTCAGACTAACAAGCTATTTACAAGCTTACCATTCTGATCTGTCTTTCTAGGGAGGTTTCCACATTGTATTTGTCTGCCTTCTTTAGGTCTGCGATATCTCCTGCTGTCACTGTAGACACAGGTACTGTACCAGCGGGGAAATCCAGCAGGTTGAACAGTACCGAATAAGTTAAACAGCCTGTTTCACACACAGTATCAGAGAGTTAAACATTAAATGTTAGTAAGCAGGTTAGAGTAAATAAGTCTGAGATGATATATCCAGAATAATATTAATAAAATTTGAAAATTTCTGAGAGAGAAAGTCTAAAATATATTAAAAGAAAACTGCATTTACGATCTTCTTCTTCTTCTTCTTCCTCTTCTTCAGCATTCCGAGCCCTTGAGGTTCATTGCTGCAGATATCACCCGCCTCCATTAATCTCTCTGGATGGCCTTTTCTTTCCAGTTGGTGACACCAAGTGTTTGCAGGTCTGTCTGGACATTATCTCTTTATATTCTTCTTGTTCTGCCTCGTGGTCTACGACCATTTATCTCCCTTATGTATACAGTTTTTACTTCTCTGTCATCTGACATTTCTTTCAGTATGTCCCAACCATTTCAGTCATTATGCCAGTGAGAGCATTTAAGATACATTTTTAAAAACAATTTTTTGGAAAAATACGAATCTTGTGAGGCCCTACAGATTACGAGGCCCTAAGATTTAGCTCACACTAGATCCAACACTGCATCTACACGACAGGCGTGAAAAAGTGTAATTTTCTTAACAGTTTAATGTAGACGGACTTTCAATATTCTGGCTGTAGCTATATCGGCGACCAGGTCGCCTACTGACTGCCCGGTAGACGACTTCCTCGCCAGGCGGGACAGTATTTGGACCTGTTTTCCTTAATCGCATCAACAATGCATGAGTCCTTTTCAGGGCTCTTGGTGGCAAATAATGCTGAGCCATTGTATATTGCGCACATAACCTAGTCACAATTGTAACCTAAAGCTCTCCCTTCGGGGATGTTAGCTGAACCTGACGATTTTTTTTAAGCAAAGCAACGACAACGGCTGCAGCCACTGACCTGTGAACCTCTCCTCGTTGCCAAGTCTGACGGCAGCAAACGGCAACACGGGACAGAGCAGCACGTCCACCTGCTGTACAGCCATGAGTCTGAGGAACTGCCGCTTCCACGCCTTGTGGGGAAATATCATGGAGGCTTTAGGGAGAAAGCTTTCTGTCAGAGGGGCTTTCTGTGTGGCTTTGTCTTGTCAGGGGGGCTTTCTGTGTGGCTTTGTCTTGTCATGGGGCTTTCTGTGTGGCCTTATCTTGTCATGGGGCTTTCTGTGTGGCCTAGTCTTGTCAGGGGAGCTTTCTGTGTGGCTTTGTCTTGTCAGAGGAGCTTTCTGTGCGGCCTTGTCTTGTCAGGGGGCTTTCTGTGTGACCTTGTCTTGTTAGGGGACTTTCTGTGTGGCCTTGTCTTGTCATGGGGCTTTCTGTGTGGCCTTGTCTTGTCATGGGGCTTTCTGTGTGGCCTTATCTTGTCATGGGGCTTTCTGTGTGGCCTTGTCTTGTCATGGGGCTTTCTGTGTGGTCTTGTCGAGGGGGGCTTTTTGTGTGGCCTTGTCTTGTGTGTGGGCTTTCTGTGTGACCTTGTCTTGTCATGGGGCTTTCTGTGTGGCCTTATCTTGTTATGGGACTTTCTGTGTGACCTTGTCTTGTCATGGGGCTTTCTGTGTGGCCTTATCTTGTCATGGGACTTTCTGTGTGGCCTTGTCTTGTCGATGGGGCTTTCTGTGTGGTCTTGTCGGAGGGGGGGGGGGGGGGTTCTGTGTTGCCTTGTCTTGTCAGGGGGGCTTTCTGTATGGCTTTGTTGTTGTCAGGGGCTTTCTATGTGGCTTTGTCTTGTCAGGGGGGCTTTCTGTATGGCCTTGTGTTGTCAGGGGGCTTTCTATGTGGCTTTGTCTTGTCAGAGAACTTTCTGTGTGGCCTTGTTTTGTCAGGGGTTTTCAGTGTGGCCTTGTCTTGTGAGTGGGCGTTCTGTGTGGCCTTGTCTTGTCAGGAATTGTCTGTGTGGCTTTGTCTTGTCCGAGAACTTTCTGTGTGGCTTTGTCTTGTCCGGGAGCTTTCTGTGTGGCTTTGTCTTGACAGAAAACTTTTTTGTGTGGTCTTGTCGTGTGCGAAAACCTTCTGTCGGAAACTTTCTGTTTGGCTTTGTCTTATCGGGAACTTTCTGTGTGGCTTTGTCTAGTCAATGGTGTCTTCTCGTAGATTTGTATTCTCGAGGCACTTTTATCTTTAAAAAAAACTTTTACCTTATATCACCCCCTGACGCTACTAGGCATTCCAGAAATAGAGAAAGCAAGAAGCTGCATATCAAGGCTATTGAACTGGAGAGCAGTGGACCGTACCTGACAATCAAAGGCCCAGCAACTGACCCATAAATAACTGCCACAACTGTAATTTTTCTATGGTGGGTTTCGGTCATCTGGCCTTGACGACCTCCATTTTTAACATTTAAGCCCTTGAGAAAACTTAAGTTTTCTGTCCTGCTTTTATCCCGCGTTTTCTTTGTGGCCACATGACCTTGGTGATTGTGGGAAGATGAAGAAAAACGAGGGTCCTGTTGTTTGATGATACAGAGAACTGGTCGCATCAAGCGGCACCGAAAGGGGGTGGCAAAAGCAGCGAAATCAAAAATACAATTTGAACATTTAAGGGACGGCATTTGGATGATTTGCATCCTTCTGAGAAAATCTACAACAAGGCCCTGGACACAACTTCTCTGTTTTGGAAGACATAGATGTTGTCTATACGTTTTCAAATGGTTTTAGAGAGATGTCTATGTTTCTCGTGTTTTACAGAGACGGACATTGCCAGTGTTTCTCGTGTTTTACAGAGACGGACATTGTCCATGTTTCTCGTGTTTTACAGAGACGGACATTGTCAGTGTTTCTCGTGTTTTAGAGAGATAGGCATTGTCAGTGTTGCTCGTATTTAAGAGAGATGGGCATTGTTAGTGTTTCTCGTTTTTTAGAGAGATGGGCATTGTCAGTGTTTCTCTGTTTTAGAGAGATGGGCATTGTCAGTGTTTCTCTGTTTTAGAGAGATGGGCATTGTCAGTGTTTCTCTGTTTTAGAGAGATAGGCATTGTCAGCGTTTCTCGTATTTAAGAGAGATAGGCATTGTCAGTGTTTCTCGTATTTAAGAGAGATAGGCATTGTCAGTGTTTCTCGTATTTAAGAGAGATAGGCATTGTCAGTGTTTCTCGTATTTAAGAGAGATGGGCACTGTCAGTGTTTCTCTGTTTTAGAGAGATAGGCATTGTCAGTGTTTCTCTGTTTTAGAGAGATAGGCATTGTCAGTGTTTCTCGTATTTAAGAGAGATGGGCATTGTCAGTGTTTCTCGTATTTAAGAGAGATAGGCATTGTCAGTGTTTCTCGTATTTAAGAGAGATAGGCATTGTCAGTGTTTCTCGTATTTAAGAGAGATAGGCATTGTCAGTGTTTCTCGTATTTAAGAGAGATAGGCATTGTCAGTGTTTCTCGTATTTAAGAGAGATAGGCATTGTCAGTGTTTCTCGTATTTAAGAGAGATAGGCATTGTCAGTGTTTCTCGTATTTAAGAGAGATAGGCATTGTCAGTGTTTCTCGTATTTAAGAGAGATGGGCATTGTCAGTATATAACAATCCATTAATGACAAAACGAAATGACAACAATCTGTTGTCAAAAAACAGAATGACAACATTCTGCCACAGACACAACAAAATGACAACAATCTCTTTCTCTGACACAACTAGATGACAACAATTTGCCACAGACACAACAAAATGACAACACTCTGCCACAGACACAATAAGATAACAGCAATCTCTCGCTGACACAACAAGATGACAACAAAGTCTCGCTGACACAACAAGAGGACAACAAAGTCTTGCTGATACAACAAGAGGACAACAAAGTCTCACTGACACAACAAGAGGACAACAAAGTCTCGCTGACACAACAAGAGGACAACAAAGTCTCGCTGACACAACAAGAGGACAACAAAGTCTCGCTGACACAACAAAATCTCTCACTGTGACCCTACAAGCCAGCCGATTGAAAACCACCACCACAACAACAGTTACCACAAACATGAGATCATTGATCTAAGTGAGCTATCCAGTTCCCTTACAGCGACATCTCTCACAAGTTTCCACCAATAGCTCACAGATCTGTGGAATGTTCCAGACGGTTACTTTGATGTTGCCAGCAGGACCGCATTTAACTCTATGAGGCCCTGAGCTTTTTAAATATATCAGGCCTCTACTGTTCTAAATTGCGCCAGCTAATCTTAGAAAACGTTAAAATGTATATGCCTGTTAAATAAATGGATGACAGAAATTTATTGTAGTTTAATTTTTATTAAAAGAAATAACAAAGAATGTATTTTGCAAAATCACAAATTATATTAAATGATGCTCTGAAACGCTCTAAAAGTGAAGTAAGGGAACCTATTCCACGCCTTCGGGTCTACTAGGCACATAGGGCTAGACCTATGTTTTATAGATAAATCGGATGTGGAAAACACCAAGCCGGCCGCCTTTACTTCCCAGGATCAAAAGAGCAATGAGGATGTCTTGACAAAGCTGATTCACGAAGTGAACTGACTGCCCACATCAGAAAGAGACAATCTTCATTCTTTGGTCATGTGATGAGAAGGAGAAAACTGGAGTACGTCGTGACAGTAAGAAAGTTGGAGGGCAGGAGAGACAGAGGCAGACCGAGAGAAAAGGTGCTGGACAGTTTGACGTCATTGCATGAAGGATCATCTGTGTCCAGGTTGACTGAAAGTACATGCGAGAGAAGGTTGGGGATAGACATGTCTACTAACGCCACAGGGTATGGACTTTAAGAAGAAGACAAACCAGCCAGGGTGAGTCATCACCATGAATTAGTTAAACAACAAGCTGGACTGAGTTTATGTTGTTAGTCAGTTAAAAAACAAGCTGGAGTGAGTTTATGTTTTCAGTCAGTTAAATAACAAGCTGGAGTGAGTTTATGTTGTTAGTCAGTTAAAAAACAAGCTGGAGTGAGTTTATGTTTTCAGTCAGTTAAATAACAAGCTGGAGGGAGTTTATGTTGTTAGTCAGTTAAAAAACAAGCTGGAATGAGTTTATGTTTTCAGTCAGTTAAATAACAAGCTGGAGTGAGTTTATGTTGTCAGTCAGTTAAACAACAAGCTGGAGTGAGTTTATGTTGTTAGTCAGTTAAAAAACAAGCTGGAGTGAGTTTATGTTGTCAGTCAGTTAAATAACAAGCTGGAGTGAGTTTATGTTGTCAGTCAGTTAAATAACAAGCTGGAGTGAGTTTATGTTGTCAGTCAGTTAAACAACAAGCTGGAGTAAGTTTATGTTGTCAGTCAGTTAAATAACAAGCTGGAGTGAGTTTATGTTGTCAGTCAGTTAAATAACAAGCTGGAGTGAGTTTATGTTGTCAGTCAGTTAAATAACAAGCTGGAGTGAGTTTATGTTGTCAGTCAGTTAAATAACAAGCTGGAGTGAGTTTATGTTGTCAGTCAGTTAAACAACAAGCTGGAGTAAGTTTATGTTGTCAGTCAGTTAAATAACAAGCTGAAGTAAGTTTATGTTGTCAGTCAGTTAAATAACAAGCTGGAGTGAGTTTATGTTGTCAGTCAGTTAAACAAATCGGAGTGAATTTATTACAAGACATCCATCATTGTCTACACAAAACCAGACTTCTATCATTCTCGATACAAGGCCATATATCTATCATTCTCTACATAAAGCCAGACTTTTATAATACTCTACACAGGGCCAGACTTCTATCATTCTCTACAGATGGCTAGACTTCTATCCTTTCCCACACAGGACCAGACTTCTATCTTTCTCTACATATGGCCAGGCTTCTATCATTCTCTACACATAACCACTTCTTTCTATCTTTACATATGGCCAGACTTCTATCTTTCTCTACATGTGACCAGACTTCTATCTGTCTCTACGTATAGCCAGACTTCTTTTTTTTTTCTCTACGTATGGCCAGACTTCAATCATTCTTTACATATGGCCAGACTTCTAACATTCTCTACAAATGACCAGACTTCTATCATTCTCTACATATGGCCAGACTTCAATCATTCTTTACATATGGCCAGACTTCTAACATTCTCTACATATGGCCAGACTTCTATCATTCTCTACATATGGCCAGAGTTCTATCATTCTCTACACAAAGCCATACTTCTATCATTCTCTACATATGGCCACACTTTTATCCTTCCCTACACAAAGCCAGAATTCTATAATTCTCGACACAAAGCTAGAATACTATGATTCTCTACACAAAGCCAGACTTCTATCATTCTCTAAAAGTCAGACTTCTATCACTGACCTGCAGTACTTACATTGGGCACTTGACAGCCAGCAACGAGGAATTTACAGGATTCTGTACGCGGATGAGAGAGGAAAAAAAACACATAAACGTGCTTTTAGTTGATTGTAGGTTTAAGTCACACATAAACGTGCCTCTAGTTGTTTGCCTGTACAAGTCACACATATAATTTATTCTAGTTGTCTGCTGATACAAGTCACACATATAATTTATTCTAGTTGTCTGCTGATACAAGTCACACATACAAGTCATTCTAGTTGTCTGTTAGTACAAGTCACACACACAAGTCATTCTAGTTGTCTGCTGGTACAATCCACATACACGTCATTCTAGTTGTCTGCTGATACAAGTCACACATACACGTCATTCTAGTTGTCTGCTGATACAAGTCACACATACAAGTCATTCTAGTTGTCTGTTAGTACAAGTCACACATACACGTCGTTCTAGTTGTCTGCTGATACAATCCACATACACGTCATTCTAGTTGTCTGCTGGTACAATCCACATACACGTCATTCTAGTTGTCTGCTGGTACAATCCACATACACGTCATTCTAGTTGTCTGCTGGTACAATCCACATACACGTCATTCTAGTTGTCTGCTGATACAATCCACATACACGTCATTCTAGTTGTCTGCTGGTACAATCCACATACACGTCAATCTAGTTGTCTGCAGATACAAGTCACACATACACGTCATTCTAGTTGTCTGCTGGTACAATCCACATACACGTCATTCTAGTTGTCTGCTGGTACAATCCACATACACGTCATTCTAGTTGTCTCTAGATACAAGTCACACAAACACGTCATTCTCGTTGTCTGCTGGTACAAGTCACAAATACACGTCATTCTAGTTGTCTGCTGATACAAGTCACACATACACGTCATTCTAGTTGTCTGCTGGTACAAGTCACACATACACGTCATTCTAGTTGTCTGCTGATACAAGTCACACATACACGTCATTCTAGTTGTCTGCTGATACAAGTCACACATACAAGTCATTCTAGTTGTCTGCTGGTACAAGTCACACATACACGTCGTTCTAGTTGTCTGCTGGTACAAGTCACACATACAAGTCATTCTAGTTGTCTGCTGGTACAAGTCACACATACACGTCATTCTAGTTGTCTGCTGATACAAGTCACACATACAAGTCATTCTAGTTGTCTGCTGGTACAAGTCACACATACACGTCGTTCTAGTTGTCTGCTGATACAAGTCACACATACACGTCATTCTAGTTGTCTGCTGGTACATTGAGTGATGTTAAAGATAGAAAGAAAGAAAGCTCGAACGCCTAAAAACTATCAATAACCCAGATGCAAAACTATTGTCAACTGATTGGTTGAACCTTGAGGATTCTTTTTGGCGCAATTTAAACAGTTTAAATCCTTGGATTACGAAGAACATAGGATCTAATGTGTATGCACTGTACAGAACATATGATTTAATGTGTATGCACTCTACAGAATATATGATTTAATGTGTATGCACTCTACAGAACATATGATTTAAAGTGTATGCACTCTACAGAACATAGGATTTAATGAAAATGCACTCTACAGAACATATGATTTAATGTGTATGCACTCTACAGAACATAGGATTTAATGTGTATGCACTCTACAGAACATATGATTTAATGTGTATGCACTCTACAGAACATAGGATCTAATGTGTATGCACTGAACATATGATTTAATGTGTATGCACTCTACAGAACATAGGATTTAATGAAAATGCACTCTACAGAACATATGATTTAATGTGTATGCACTCTACAGAACATAGGATTTAATGTGCAGGTATTCTAAAGAATATAGCTTTTGATGCGTATGTACTCTTAATAACTACAGACTAAGGGACAATCTGGGATACAACAAAGATGAATCAATCTGATGTGTACAATATACCTCAAGATACCAGCAGACATACAACAAAAGACTCTTAGAAACAATCAGACATACAACATACTATCAAAGACAGACATACAACAACAGACTCTTAGAAACAATCAGACATACAACATACTATCAAAGACAGACATACAACAACAGACTCTTAGAAACAATCAGACATACAACATACTATCAAAGACAGACATACAACAACAGACTCTTAGAAACAATCAGACATACAACATACTATAAAAGACAGACATACAACAACAGACTTTAGGAGACATACAGATATACAACAGCATACTCTAAGAAAAAAACCCAGACATGCAGCTACAGACTCTTAGAGACAATCAGACATAAAACAACCTACTCTAAGAGACACCCAACAACATACTCTAAGAGACAAGCAGACATACAACATCATACTTCAAGAGACAAGCAGATATACAACAACATACTATAAAAGACAAGCAGACATACAACAACATACTCTAAGAGACAAACAGGCATACAACAGCAGACTCTGAGACAAGCAGACACCCAACAACATATTCCAAGAGACAAGCAGACTACAACAGCAGACTCTGAGACAAGCAGACATACAATATACCCAAAGAGACAAGCAGACATACAACATACCCAAAGAGACAAGCAGACATACAACAACATATTATAAAAGACAAGCAGACATACAACAACATACTCCAAGAGACAAGCAGACATACAACAACATACTCCAAGAGACAAGCAGACATACAACAACATACTCCAAGAGACAAGCAGACATACACCAGCAGACTCTAAGAGATAAATGACAGCTTGTGGGAACCAACCTGCATGTAGAACCACCAAGACCACAACCACCTGATTGGGTGCGGCAGATGGAGCAGGAGGTAGGTTCTCCTCACACAGCTGTCCACCCGGTCCACACACCTGTGTGGGGGTACAGGGGGGGGGGGCACGCACACGTAAGACAATTACATCAGTGCACACATAAATATCGGGGGGGGGGGGGGCACGCACACACGTAAGATAACTACATCAGCGCACACACATCAGCGCACACACACAAATCGGGGGGGGGGGGGGGGGGGCACACACACGTAAGATAACTACATCAGTGCACACACAAATCGGGGGGGGGGGGGGGAGGTGCGGTATGATCATGTACATATATAAGTAAACATGTAAGTTTGGGAGGAAGGGGGCAACATTATATTAATATTTCGATGCATACACAGTTGGGAGTGAGGACAACATTAGACTGATACATCGATGCCTAAGTAGATGTGTAGGGAGTGAGGGCAACATTAGACTGATACATCGATGCCTAAGTAGATGTGTAGGGAGAGAGGGGTCGGCAACACTGTGTCAATAGATCAATGCACATGCAAATGTGGATTGAGGAGGGGTGGGTTACATTATATAAATATATTAGTGCACGCGCAGATACAGTCTGAGTTTAGGTTGTACCAACAAAACAAAAAAAGATCCGAAGCTCTTGAGTAGTGTGAGACTTGGTTGTGATCCTAAAACTCATTTACCGTGAAGTGGTTGTGATCCTATCTTTGGGTAGCCTAAAGTGGATGTGATCCTATCACTTGTGTACCGTGAAGTGGTTGTGATCCCATTACTTGGGTAGCGCGAAATGGTTGTGATCCTAGAACTTGTGTACTGTGAAGTGGTTGTGATCCTAGCTCTGGTGTAGTGTTAAACTTCATTGTGATCCAAGCTCTTGCGTAGCGTGAAATGGTTGTGATTCCATCGCTTTTGCAGTCTGAAGTTTAGTTGCGATCCAAGCTCTTGTGAAGTGGTTGTGATTCCCATCGCCTGGGAAGTGTGAAGGGGTTGTGATCGCAAGATTTGGGTAGTGTGAACCTTGGTTGTGGTCCTATCATTCACTTGGGTAGTTTAAACCTTGGTTGTGATACCAGAATTTGGGTAGAGTGATCCTAGGTTGTGTACTATCACGTGGGTAGTGTGAACCTTGGTTGTGATACCAGAATTTGGGTAGTGTGAACCTTGGTTGTGATACCAGAATTTGGGTAGTGTGAACCTTGGTTGTGATCCTATCATTTACTTGGGTAGTGTGAACATTGGCTGTGATACCAGAATTTGGGTGGCGTGAACCTTGGTTGTGGTCCTATCATTCACTTGGGTAGTGTGAACCTTGGTTGTGATACCAGAATTTGGGTAGTGTGAACCTTGGCTGTGATACCAGAATTTAGGTAGTGTGAACCTTGGTTGTGGTCCTATCATTTACTTGGGTAGTGTGAACCTTGGCTGTGATACCAGAATTTGGGTAGCGTGAGCCTTGGTTGTGGTCCTATCATTTCACTTGGGTAGTGTGAACCTAGGTTGTGGTCCTATCATGTGGGTAGTGTTAACCTTGGTTGTAAAACCAGAATTTGGGTAGTGTGAACCTTGGTTGTGATACCAGAATTTGGGTATTGTGAACCTTGGCTGTGATACCAGAATTTGGGTAGCGTGAACCTTGGTTGTGGTCTTATCATTCACTTGGGTAGTGTGAACCTTTGTTGTGATACCAGAATTTGGGTGGTGTGAACCTTTGTTGTGATACCAGAATTTGGGTAGTGTGAACCTTGGTTGTGGTCCTATCATTTACTTGGGTAGTGTGAACATTGGCTGTGATACCAGAATTTGGGTGGCGTGAACCTTGGTTGTGGTCCTATCATTTCACTTGGGTAGTGTGAACCTTGGTTGTGATACCAGAATTTAGGTAGAGTGATCCTAGGTTGTGGTCCTATCATGTGGGTAGTGGGAACCTTGGTTGTGATACCAGAATTTGCGTAGTGTGAATCTTGGCTGTGATACCAGAATTAGGGTAGAGTAAACCTTGGTTATGGTCCTATCATTCACTTGGATAGTGTGAACCTTGGTTGTGATACCAGAATTTGGGTAGCGTGAACCTTGGTTGTGGTTCTATCATTCACTTGGGTAGTGTGAACCTTTGTTGTGATACCAGAATTTCGGTAGTGTGAACCTTGCTTGTGATACCAGAATGTGGGTAGTGTGAACCTTGGTTGTGGTCCTATCATTTACTTGGGTAGTGTGAACATTGGCTGTGATACCAGAATTGGGTAGCGTGAACCTTAGTTGTGGTCCTATCATTTCACATAGGTAGTGTGAACCTTGGTTGTGATACCAAAGTTTAGGTAGAGTGATCCTAGGTTGCGGTCCTATCACATGGGTAGTGTGAACCTTGGTTGTGATACCAGAATTTGGGTAGTGTGAACCTTGGTTATGGTCCTATCATTCACTTGGGTAGTGTGAACATTGGTTGTGATACCAGAATTTGGGTAGTGTGAACCTTGGTTATGGTCCTATCATTCACTTGGGTAGTGTGAACCTTGGTTGTGATACCAGAATTTGGGTAGTGTGAACCTTGGTTATGGTCCTATCATTCACTTGGGTAGTGTGAACATTGGTTGTGATACCAGAATTTAGTTAGAGTGATCCTAAGCTGTGGTCCTATCACATGGGTAGTGTGAACCTTGGTTGTGATCCCATCACATGGGTAGTGTGAACCTTGGTTGTGATCCCATCACTTGGGTAGTGTGAACCTTGGTTGTGATCCCATCACTTGGGTAGTGTGAACCTTGGTTGTGATCCCATCACTTGGGTAGTGTGAACCTTGGTTGTGATCCCATCACTTGGGTAGTGTGAACCTTGGTTGTGATCCCATCACTTGGGTAGTTTGAAGTGGTTGTGATTTCAGCACTTGAGTTGTGTGAGGCCTGGTTCTGAACACAGTATTTGTTTAGTGTGAGTCTTGGCTGTAAACCCATTCGTCTAGAGAATACAAGTTTAACATATTCTTCTTCTTCTTCTTCTTCTTCTTCTTCTTCTTCTTCTTCTTCTTCTTCTTCTTCTTCGTATTCAACGGTTGTAAACCGGCGGAGAAATGCTGATTGTTCATCCACTTTTGAAATTTCGACTTTGTCTAGAACTTAAGTTTAGCGTGTACATTCATTTTACAATTCCGATTTATCTGTTCACAGACCGTTGGGTTTCCGCCTGTTAGGCGTAAGCACTCTGAGTTCTAAAGATACACCTCTAATTAGTCGACTTTTACGACATGCTTGCTAGAAGGGAAGTGGGTTCTATTCATTTTTTCCTCGTGGGACATCAGAACCCACACGGGGAGGTAAATGCCCTGTAGCTGCCACGGATACTCACAAAGTCCGCAACAGTTTGAAGTAGTGGTCACCCAGGACTGCGGGCAGGTACAAGTTGACCAGCATGTCTAGCAGATCTGGCGGCTCGAAGGGCACAACCTGGACCCAACGAAACAACATAAACAATTAGCAACTCATTCAGTGAGCCAGGAACCTGTTTCGGAAAGTTTGACTGAACTAGATCTCCAACACGCCCCCTTTCTGTGGTGCTGCTATGCCTAAAAACAATCGTCACGTTCAACCAACATCCCTGAAGGGAATACTTTAGGTTATAACTGTGACTAGGTTATGTGCGCCAGATAAAATGGTTTAGCATCGCAAGCCACAAAAAGCCATGTAAAGGACTCCTTCATTGGTGATTCGATCAAAGGAGACAGACCCAAATACTGTCCCGACCGGCGACAAAGTCGTCCACCGGCCAGCAATGGTTCCTACCCTATGGCCGATTCCCTGTCTTTAGTCAATGTGAGACTTAAGAATGAGCTTTTCCTGTCTGGTTTCTGGGGCAATATGAGGGCGGGCGGGGGGGGGGGGGGGGGGGGGGCAAGAATAGACTCACTGCCTCCCCAAAAAGCATGTCGTAGTCGTAGCTTGATTGGGAATTCCTTGAAAGTCGGAGTGCATCTGCCTGAGAGGCATGGAACCAACAATCTGCTTACAAACATAAACGATATGTGGATCGGATGTACATGCAACACTCAGATTCAGCAACATGACTAAAGGCCAGAGGGGGACAAACATCCAGAACTTTTAGCCGGAGTTTACAGCCGGTGAACGAGAAGAACACCAAGGCATAAGCTAAATAGGTTAAAGCTTAGGGCGTCACAGGGGGCCCCAGTGGGGTCGTCAGGCAAATGCAATTTTCTTTTAATATATTTACGATGCAATTTTCTTTTAACATATTTACAAAGCAATTTTCTTTTAATATATTTGCGATGCAATTTTTTAAAAATATATTTACGATGCAATTTTCTTTTAATATATTTACGATGCAATTTTCTTTTAATATATTTACGATGCAATTTTCTTTTAATGTATGTATGATGCAATTTTCTTTTAATATATTTACGATGCAATTTTCTTTTAACATATTTACAATACAATTTTCTTTTAATATATTTACGATGCAATTTTCTTTTAACATAATTACAATACAATTTTCTTTTAATATATTTACGATGCAATTTTCTTTTAACATATTTACAATACAATTTTCTTTTAATATATTTACGATGCAATTTTCTTTTAATGTATGTATGATGCAATTTTCCTTTAATGTATGTATGATGCAATGTTCTTCTAATAACGCATTTTAGAAGATTATATGTTTTTTAATGTGAAAAAACATATATTCCTCTAAAATGCGTTATTTTAGAGGATTATTAATATTCTTTCTGTGATTTTGCATACACATTCTAAATTATTTGCTTTGCTAAAAATTAAAAATCCATATTTAAAAGGCGCAAATATTTTACAGTTTTCTAAGATTAGCTGGTGTGATAAAAAAATTTAAAAACCTGCAGGGGCCTCAGGGCGTTATCGAGACATCACGTCTAAATACGGCCCTGTCTCTTGGCCTGATCGTACACTTCATGAGAATGTTTGGCCATCTCTTAATGCCTGTATGTGACATATAGATATTTCTCACAAGCAGACGTCTGTAACATATATATGTTTGTGTTACGTATATGTATGTGACATGTATAGATATGTGACATGTATATTTATATGACAATTAGAGTGGAACTCAAATAATCGTCCGCGCCAATTAAAATTTTTTTTTTAATTCGTTCTATTTTTCTCTTCGAAATTTTTGTGCGAAAAGTATATATTCGTTCTTCCTCTGACGTGGCCTGCCCACGACCGGCTCCGGCTGACGGGCCGTGCTTTAAAGTTTATTTCCTATGGGGTAAACCCGTTTGATATTCGTCGTTTCTGTCCTCACCTTAGGAACGGAATATTGACGAATATTTGAGTTCCACTGTATCTTATGTAATATTACAGTACACCTAATGTAGATCTCGTGAAGACTAAGCTAACAGTGAAGGGCATACCTTGTAGCCAATGCTCTCTAGCAACGCCTTGGCTTCCAACAGCGCCCGTCTCACGGAGGGGACACATTTTGTGTAACCATCGTCAATGAAGAAACCAACGCATAGTGGTTTAGTGCTTTCGTACATCTAAAGAGATATCAGACCAGACGAAAAGTAGAGCTGGTCAAATTTACATTATCCCCGTTACACCCTGTCACAAACGACATGTGAACGTTGCGGTTAAAAAGCCTTCAGCAGCACACTACATGAATAGACAATGCAACCATTGCGAACAAGAATATAAAAAATCACTCAACTGAGGTATTTACGAAAGAAATCTCCACGAATGTCTGGCCAGTGGAAGGTCTGAAATACGTATGAACACCGGGAATTATTCTGTTTGGCGTGCATCTATACGACAGCGACAACAAAAGAAGACATCCATGAAAGTCTAAACTGTTGACAGCCACCTCTTCCTGATGTCTCTACTAGCCACTCACAACGTTATAAGCCGCACACCTGCACCCATCAAAGATGACCTGGATAGGTTTACACCTGAGACCCCATACTATTCTGCATATGCGTAAACCTGACCCCACAGTTGACCCTACCAGATAGCCTAGATGTATGCACACTTTACCCCACAGTAGATCCTACCAGATAGCCTAGATGTATGCACACTTTACCCCATAGGTGATCCTACCTGAAAACATACACTCTCTCTCTGATCTACTCTAGCCTAGATGTAGGCACACTTTACCCCTCTGATCTCTAGCTCTCTATCTCTCTCTTTACCCCATGTGATCCTACCAGATAGCCTGTGTATGTGTGTGATCCTACGTGAGTGTGTGCATATTACCCCACCCCTACCAGATAGCCTAGAACCACTTTACCAAACAGTTGATCCTACCAGATAGCCTAGATGTATCCTACAAAATCGACATCTGACCCACAAAACATAAACTGCACGTGTGTGTGTGTGTGTGTGTATGTGTGTGTGTGTCCGTGCGTGTACATATACGACCCTGCAACATAAACCGCTTTTTGCGTACATCTGACCCCACAAAATAAACTGCACCTGTGTACATCTGACCCCACAAAATAAACTGTAGAAGTGTGTACCTCTGACCCCACAAAATAAACTGTAGAAGTGTACATCTGACCCCACACGTTATTCCACAAAATGGTCTCGATGTATGTATACCTGACTTCACAAAAGACCCCTTCATGAACTAAACATTGACAAGGATTAGATAACTGTCATGTTTAGTTAACATTACCCTATACATTATTAACTGAACATTGACACAGTTGAATGATAGTTTTGTTAACTGCGCAATGACACCTTTGAATGAAAGTTTTGTTAACTGAATAATGACATTAATGATAATTTTGTTAACTGAACAATGACACAGTTTAATAATAGTTTTGTTAACCTAAAATTGACACGGTTTAATGATAGTTTTGTTAATTGAACATTGACACAGTTTAATGATAGTTTTGTTAATTGAACATTGACACATACCTCATTAATTGAACACTGATGCGGACATGACAGTCGCATCATGAACTGAACATTGACAGAAACCTCATGAACTTAACAATAAAACTTTCCTCATTACTGTGCATCGACACCAGATTGGCATAGACAGTATAAGGTGAATATTGAAACAGAACTTATGAATTAAAAGCTGACATATACCTCATTAACTGAACATTGACACAGATCTCATTAATTGATCATTGACACAGATCTCATCAACTGAACTTGGAAACTGAGCTCATCAACTAAACATTGACATATGCCTCATTAACTGAACATTAACACAGACCTAATTAATTAATCACTGACACAGACTCATCAACGGAACTCTGAAACAGACCTCATCAGCTGAACTTTGACATATACCTTATTAACTGAACACGGACACAGATCTAATTAACTAAACATTAACACAGACTTCCTTCAATGAACTTTTACACAGACTTCATTAACTGAACATTCACACAGATCTCATTAGCTGAACATTGACACAAACCTCAATAGCTGAACATTGACACAAACCTTGTTGATGAAAATTGACAGTACAAACCTTTGCATCACGAAATGACACAAACCTCATTTAGTGAACATTGAAACATATATCTTTCACCGCATGAACATGGATGGGCACAGACCTCATAGACTGAACATTGTCACAATCTTCTTAGCTGAATTTGTCAAAGACATCATAGTTAAACACTGACACAGACCTTATGAACTGAACATTACCACAGACCTCGTTAGCTTAACATTGACACCAATTGATAGTACATTACATTTGCATCATGAATTGAACATTTACACACATAGCGAACACTGGCACAGATATCAATAACCAGACATGGACCCTTGATTAATACAGACATCATGGACTGAACACTGATATAGATCTACTTAAATGAATATTAACAAAAACCTCATTACTAAACACTGACACAGACCTCATTAGCCGAACATTGACAAAGGTCTCGTTAGCTGAACATTGACAAAGATCTCCTTAGCTGAACATTGACACAGGTCTACTTAAATGAAAACTTTCACAGACCTTATTAACTGGACATAGACCCAGTTTTGGTACAAACATCATAAATTGAACATCGAAGCAAATCTCATTAACTGAACACTGACATAGACCTCATTAACTGAACATTATGGCTGAACATTACCACAGACCTTATGGCTAAATATTAACACAGACCCTATGGCTAAACATTGACACAGACCTCATGGCTGAACATTGACACAAACCTCATGGCTGAACATTAACACAGACCTTATGGCTAAACATTAACACAGACCTCATGGCTAAACATTAACACAGACCATATGGCTAAACATTGACACAGACCTCATGGCTAAACATTAACACAGACCATATGGCTAAACATTGACACAGACCTCATGGCTAAACATTAACACAGACCTCATGTGGCTAAACATTAATTAACACAGACCATATGGCTAAACATTGACACAGACCTCATGGCTAAACATTAACACAGACCATATGGCTAAACATTGACACCGACCTCATGGCTAAACATTAACACAGACCTCATGTGGCTAAACATTAATTAACACAGACCATATGGCTAAACATTGACACAGACCTCATGGCTAAACATTAACACAGACCATATGGCTAAACATTGACACAGACCATATGGCTAAACATTGACACAGACCTCATGGCTGAACGGCGCTAAGGACACAGTTGGGTCCAGCTGATGTTGTAGTGGCACACACAGACACTTCATGAAGGCAACCAGTCCAGCCACCTCGGATGATATCGGACCAACACAAGTGGCAACTGTAAAGTGGAGGTGGGGAATATCACAGGAACACAAGTGGCAACTTTAAATGGACGAATGGAATAACATAGTGGAGTCGATAGGAGACTCGCTTTCAAATCCAGCTGCGACTCGCTGCAGCAACGGCCCGGATTCGAAACCGGGCTGTTTCCGGCGTTCACCCAGCCTCTAGAAAATGGGTACCAGAGTGACACTCTGGGGTAAATGGAGGAACGTTCCTGTAGCTACGGAGTTGCGTGCGGACGGCGACACAGGCGACAGTTTCTTATCAGCTATCCCTACTGGTGGCAGAGCACTTATGGTTTATAACGCTGTGCAATGACACTGGTTCGCATCTCCCGACTTTACCTTTAGTGACACAAGTGGCAACTGTAAGTGGAGGTGTGGAATATTATAAGGACACAAGTGGCAACTGTAAGTGGAGGTGTGGAATATTATAAGGACACAAGAGGCAACTGTAAGTGGAGGTGTGGAATATTATAAGGACACAAGTGGCAACTGTAAGTGGAGGTGTGGAATATTATAAGGACACAAGTGGCAACTGTAAGTGGAGGTGTGGAATATTATAAGGACACAAGTGGCAACTGTAAGTGGAGGTGTGGAATATTATAAGGACACAAGTGGCAACTGTAAGTGGAGGTGTGGAATATTATAAGGACACAAGTGGCAACTGTAAGTGGACGTGTGGAAGGACACAAGTGGCAACTGTAAGTGGAGGTGTGGAATATTATAAGGACACAAGTGGCAACTGTAAGTGGAGGTGTGGAAGGACACAAGTGGCAACTGTAAGTGGAGGTGTGGAATATTATAAGGACACAAGTGGCAACTGTAAGTGAACACGTAGTATATCATAGTGAGACGAGTGGCAACTGTAAAGTGGACGAGTGGAGACATGACTGCACCAGTGGAGTGGAACACTAGTGGGGGCACAGCGGAAGACATGATATCGGCGGAGCAATGAAAACATGAATGGACAAGCTGTGACAAATGTGTAAAAATACAACGAAGAATTGTAAAGAGATGAAAGAACAAACACTTTTTTTGGGGGGGGGGGGGGGGGCACATATGAGAAGAGAGACATTGAAGAACATAGTGACAACTGGAAAGATCAGTGGAAAAAGGGGTAAAAGCAGACCAAGAGAGATGATGCTGGATGGGTTGAAACGATGGCATCGAGGGATATCATCAAGAGAGCTGTTCCAGGCAAACAAGGATCGTGATATGTGCAGACGCATGAGGGCCTACGCCAGCTGGCAGGGTACATGATGATGATGAAAGAGATAAAGAATTGTGAATGCCTGAATTGAAGAATTTTTAAGATATTAAGTGAATAATTGTAAAGACAGTAAATATAGAATTGTGAGAACATGAAATCAAGAATTATGAAGATAAAAACTCAAGATCTTTGAAGACGTAAAGTAATTAACTATGAATATATAAAGTAAAAGGCTGTGAAAACTAAAAGTAAAGCAATATGAAGTCAGTCATAAAGTAAAGAGCTGTGAAGACATACTGTAAGGAATTGTGAAGTTAAAGAATTGAGAAGGTGTGAGGAATTCTGAAGATATGAAAGGGAAAAGGCTGAATTTAGTAAGAGGGTTAAACAGCCCCTTTATACATACACAGAAATTATCTTTAAAAGCATTATTTTATATATTTCATATTACATCAAACATATATTTATATGCTATTATGTACTCTATTTATTATTAATATTGTTATTATTATTATTATTATTATTATTATTATTATTATTATTATTATTATTACTAGTATTATTAGGAAGCCGCTGT